GCCATTGTGCTTCAAGAAGGGATATCAATGACCATATCATGAAGAAAAAACACCAATTTGCCTCAGAAAGCATGCACGCACCAAAGCAGTTTTCGATCAGCAATCCAGTTTGCACAACAGGTTCACCTATTTTACCAAAAAACAGGTTAACCTATTTCTACCTAATCGAGTTTTTTTCACCAAAAATGAAGAGTAGGAAAAGAGGCATTCCTTTCAGCTTCAAGGTCATACATACTAGGAATCCCATTTGATACAGGCAGTCAGGCATGGAAGCAAGGAAATAATTCATGGAGAAATATATCAGCTTTCTCCCTCTCCCAATTTCTTATCCAATAGCAATATCATGTTGGTATTTGGGATTGTTATTTTTCTAGTCTTCAAATTTATTTTTTAGTTTCTTGGTGTCTCAGTTATCGGGTTAGCCATTTTAAATGGTTATTTTAAAAAGTTGGGAGTTGCAATCACATTATTTGTCTTTCTGAATGGTGTTATCAGACAAGTAATAGAGTTATCTATCCAACAAGACAAAAATCATGTAAACTGGCATGTTCAAGGGAGTTGTGGTCATTTTAGTCATAAGGTGTCACTCTACCACACGATTTGGGTCATCTATTTCTGTGGATTAATCTTGGAAATGTTTTTATTTGTTTAGCTGTACTAGAATTACTAAAATGTTATTATAGTTACTTTAGGAGGAAGAGTCCCATGCCATCTTAACTTTAAAATGTTGCTTTTGAATCTGTGGAGGGAAACCCAAATAAAAAAAAAAAAAAAGGAACTTCAGAGTTGAATTAGAGGAATGAAAAGTTTGTTCTAAAGTTACCTGTGGGTAAGAGTAGCCTTCTTTCTCTCTTCCCTAGTACAATATTCCTTCTCTCTTATCTATTCAACTTTGAATTTCTTCCTCTCATAATATAGATCCTCAATTTTCCTTCTTTCTCCATCATGCCCATCCCACTAGGATTATCTATTTCCTACCCCACATCACCATCTTCTTATTGATCAGTGTTCTTCCCGGAACTTCAAAACAATCAAAACCAATCAACATAAAACCATGTGACCTGTCCCGTTTCTATACCTAACTTGCTTCTTAGTACCCTGTACTTCTCTTTAACTATAGACTATTTTGACTTACGAAGATACTTTATGAAGTTTTTTTACTCTTAAAGAACATTGAAGTGCAGTTAAACCTTAACATCTCTATGTTAGGTAAGCATTGGGTTCACTTCTTTGTTTTCAGATTTTGCCTAAGGCAGTGCCCTATGCTTTTATCAGTCTATGGGCCTTACTCCTTAGGTTCAATCAAGTTTACAGCAAATTCTTTCTGTGAAGTTGTAATCCTTCATTTGCTATTTCTCCAGTTTCTCCTCAATCAGGTTCTTTTTGGTGTGGTTTTTGCAACCTATTTCAGAGTTCTTTGCTGCTAACTCGGTATAAGTTCTATGCATGCAATCCCTGTGAACGCATCTTATTTTGAATTGCTAATAAAGATAAGGATCAAAGGTTTCAAGGAGACCAAAACAACCAGACAGTAAATAGGAGAGCAGACTGTCATAGGAGTGAGAGAATGACATTCAATTCTCTTTCTCCTATTTATATACCCCAAACCTCTCCACCTATCTTATTTTAAAGTTGATGGGATTTGGCTGAATGTAGATTGATCCATCAAACAAACAAATCTAGCCAAAAGCTTAAAGTGTCCATGGGACAAGGCACACATTTTAAATTACTGCATTATAGGATATTGATGGGCTTTTTCTTAGCATCAATGTTTTCAAAGGCATGGGAGGTGAGGTGCCTCTGGTACACCTCATGTGCCTCGTACAAAAGGAAAGAAAATAAAAGAAAAGGACCCCCCTTCACCAAGCATTATGCATCCTCATTCTTCTAAATACAAGACATCTTTTTTTTTTACATCAAAAAGAAGTAAGAAAAACAAGAACTCCTCCTTCCTCTTCCTCTCAAGGAGGCATAGACCTCCTTGTGCTCAAGAGGCTTACATTCTACACCCACAAGAAAAAGAACTCCTCTTTCCTCTTCCTCTTGAAGAGGCATAGACCTCCTTGTACTCAAGAGGCTTACATTCTACACCTACATGATAAAGAACTCCTCCTTCCTCTTCCTCTTCCTCCTCCTCTTGAAGAGGCATAGACCCTCTTTGTGCTCAAGAGGCTTACATTCTATGCCTACAAGAAATCTTTCATCAAAAATCAAAATGAAAGAAGAAAAACAACAACTCCTTGAGGAGGCTTCTTTCTTTTTGTGGAGGCATGTGTTTGGGAGCAGTCCTGTTCATGGGCCAGGTAGCCTGACAAGCCGGCCCAACACAGCCTGCTCTTTATTAGGCTTGGACAAAAAAAAAAAATTGAAATAAGTTAACTGATTTCATTAAAAGGAGAGAAGGGTACACAAAAAGGTGCACAAATACATAACAGGGGCCAGACCCCTGAGAATTACACGGGAGGAGTTTTGTCACAATACAAGGACTCCAGAAGGCTTGGACAAAATTCGCAGGCTTGAGCTCAGGCTTTCCCAAATAAGCCCAGCCCAAGCCTGGACTGATAATATTACATACAATAATACATATCAACAAAATGTAATATATATATATAGTAGTTTATTTAAATTGCATATAATATAAATATATTAGTTTATTTAAATTGCACTATATGTAGGACTTTTTATGTCCAAACTGAACTTCGGGCTCGGGCTCAGGCTCGGGCTTCAGACTTTATATAAGGACCAGGCTTGGGCCTACACATTTTTTGTTAATAAATAGGCAAAACACAATCCGAACCCGGCCTAGCCTGATCTGTGAGTGGGTTCTACACAGGAAGCTTTTGTCTCTTGCGTTTTGAACTACACCTTATGCCTCCAAGGGCTCAAGACTGAACATTTTCTATTAGTAAAGAGGCAAATCGTGACCCAAACCCAGACCGTGAACAAGTCTATTAAGGAGGCTTCCGCCTCGTGTTCTAAACAACACCTTATGCCTCCAAGTAGTGGAATGCCTCAAATCATACCTCCGTGTTTTAAAACATTGCTTAGAACTACCACTATATGTCATTCCTGAGAAATATTAGTTGGTCCATTGTGACTCATATTGTGGAGACCTCTGGGCCAACTGTTTTCACACAACCAAGCTATTCATATTCTAGTTTGATGTGGCCAATCACCGGCCAATATTAAGATGTGAACAACAAGATCCAAATACTATTACATAGAATGAATACAGAATTTCTGAGACCAAGAAGAAATCAAAATAGGATGTGGTCAATCACTCAAAACTAAGGCCTCGTTAGTTTTGCGCATGCAACGGTTTTCCTAAGGCAAGTAATTCCTGGGGAAGCGTTGCCTACGTACACTCACAAACACAGCATTCAGTAGGGTGAAACGTTACCCAGGTTAGGTGCGAGAATCCATGTGATTTGATTTTTCGGCAGTATTACCCTCCAAAAAGTCCATGGGCCCCATTGTAGTGGTGGTCAAACATAGGATTATTGCAATTTCGTGGGATCCACCCACTTATCCCCCCTCCATTTTTAACAGAAAACGAACAAGGCCTAAGAATGACCTAGACAAAATATTGTACCACAAAATTTGATCCATATGATCCAAATACCACAATCAATAGTATCACTATCAAAACACCACAGTCCTACCGATCTCAATACACACAATTAAGGATGTCAACAAACCAATTTTGGTTGGATCCCATCCAAATCAAAATCAATTTGGACAGATTGAACAGACCAATAAGACATTGGATTGGACTACTTAGTGGTCCAAAGTATTTATTGGATTGGACCTGGTCCAGCCAAAATGGATTTATATTGCATTGGGTCAAATTAAACTGTTGATAGAAGATAAGCATACAGATGTCAATGGATCAAGATTGGGTTAGAGCCAATGTAAATCAAAACCAATTTGAGCAGATAGAACAGTCCAGACATTGAATTGGACCAGTTCAAAATGGTACAAAGTATTCATCAGATTGGATTGAACGTGGTCCATATGTAATGGACTCATACTGGACCAGATTGGATTGGACTAAATCCGGTCCAATTGGCACCCCTATACAGAATGAATACCCTCCTTAGCCTATTGAGAAGATCCAACGAAATATGAACTTCACCCTCTAGATGGTCTCTTGTAAACACAGTACACACAACACCAAAAGATCATGCATTAACCTTAAATTACTATTATAGCACTTGGACAAATTTCTTCTCCAGTCTCCTTATTACCTCTTTAATGTATGCACCTACTTCCCAAAAATCTCTACACAACTAAAGATTGACATCTACAAATCCCCATTATCTAGTCCCAAAAAAATCCATTTTGCAAATAACAACATTGAGCTATTGACAATCTGAAATTGCTTTTCACCGGATCAACTAAGAAGCTCAAAAAGTATTAAACCTTCAATCCATTTCCATGTACAAACTTGCAGAGTTAACCTAGTTGGAACAAATTCATGTTTACCGTTGCCAATTCAGAGAGGTAGACAAAGTAAAATGGGTCTAACAAGCAAATTCCAGAGACACAGAATATTTATATTAGGTTAATGTTCCAATTACCATTATACATTTAACAACTATATCTTTAGCCACAATAACCAAGAATGATAAAAACCGATTTTATCACCCAAATTACTCAATCTAGGGACGATCAGTTGAAATGAAAGCAAAGCATCAAGAAATGCTTTTGAAGCAATACTTGAGATTCAAGTCTATGATCCTAAGACAACCATGACAGGTTCAATTTGTAGCATAAATCAAAGAGAACATTAACAGATATAACGTAACTGTTATGCCTAACCCTTCACCCACAGTATAATGTTCTATGCAGAATCTAGAAATTAAAATGATCATGTCTTTCACGCTACAATCAAAAAATAGGGAGAACTCTAGAAGAACCCACTTTGAATTAAGCAACGGTAGGAATGGATAAATACAAGAATCAATTTATCCATTAAATGGGGCCAACGAAAACAGAACTCAGAAACAAATAAAAGTTTGCCTTTTCCACAATCCAACTAAAGATAGTAAAGGCCAAACATCCATTTCAAAGTTGTAAAAACAAACTACAGGTTTTGTCTACCCCAATAAACCGTTACATATCATTAGCCGGTAGATATTAGACTACAAGGAGACACACGCCACATAGGTTCCACAAATAACAAGTAACAAGATATACCCAAAATCACTGGTGTTGTTCTAGAAGCCATGAATTGTACGGTGGAACTTGGACAACAAAACAATATCATGTCTAGCCAAATCCACCGTCTCACAAACTATAAACAAAAGTAAAGCAGAATGAATGGAGGAAACCTCCACTGCAAGAGACACAATGCATGTTCAACTGGCACGGCTTCTAATGACATCAAGGCCCACCTCAGTAGGATCAGTCGCTTGCAACTCTACCTGAATGCCATCCAGCTCCCTCTTGAATCTGTCTTTGGAGCTTGCATATATCATCTTACTTCTCACCCTTGACGTATCAGGGGACCTTCATCAAATAAAATACTTAAAATGAATAAAATAGACAAATAAAAAAAAAAAGAAGAAGAACAAATGTTGGTAACATTGAAGATTACCACGCAATAAAGAAAATCCTGCTTTTCTGGCAATTCTCCTCGGTCACAAAGTCGAAGTCATAAACTGCATATCGGCACTCGTCAGCAGGAAGACTTGCAGTGAAGTCCTCGTAGCTTTGAGTGGGTTCGCCAAGCTTTTCTACAACGACCTGCTTTTGCTTTTCCTCTATCTTGAAAACTATGAACCGATAGGTTCTTTTGGCCTTCAATTCCAAAAACTTTAGTTTGCAGTCATCATGCACAGCCATTCCCGAAGCTGCGTTTGCCTGTGCAATTGAATGGAATTTAGTAAGACCAAGCAGCTCTCGTAACAGTCAAAATTCCAAGATCTATAGGAAATAAAATTCATTGAAGACAGAAGTAATTTAAAAAGGTCTGTAAAAGTTTTCTAATGCATACAACCATATAAAAAAAACCATATCTTTTAGTTCTTTTATTGTTCTGGAGTTAAGACAAACCAGATCAATGCAAAAGCAAACTAAAAATGCAAACCAAGTGAAATCCAACAGAAAATCCGTAGACCCAAGTCATTTAACTAGATTATAAGCGTGTGCAAAATCCTAAAGCCACAACAGCAACCAGCGATTACGAATTACAACTAAATAAATAGAGATCTATCCTGATCGACAAAATAAGCATAATCCATCTGTCCTGCCACGAGATCTAATAACATGTATGGCCCCGATAATCTCCCGCCCGTATCACGAATCGGATGAAACTCAATTCATCAAATCCAGCATAGGAAAAAAAAATAAAGTCTATCAGATGAATCGAAAAGAGATCCAGAGATCTAAGAACAACCCAAAGGAATAATCGATTCTGTGAGCTGAAGAAAACATAAACTCGAATTATGAATCTCATTAAAATCCATCAATATCTCTCTGGTTTCGGAGAAATCAGTTCCAATAAACAAACTGATTATGGACCAAATTGTGGAATCGATAATATTCTAAAGAAGAATGAAATTTGCAAATCAGTACAGAAGAACAATAAACCCTAGAGCTGGAGAAAAAAAAAATGGAGGAAACAGATAATAAGATAAATGTAAAATAGAAAACTTGACTCACCATTTTCGGGGGATATGATCGGAGATCGACGAGGAGGATGAGACGAGAGGGATGGAGAAAATCTAGGGCAGAGGGAGGGGAGAAGATATAGAGAAGGAAGGGCTCTACACAGAAAATGAAGCCCTTTTCTTTCGGTGGATTCCTCTCTAATATGGTGATCGTGGTCATGCATGCCCCCGGAGGAGAAAGTACCTTGGGCCAATTGCAATTTGACACGTCATGGTGAGCTGGAAAAATAGGATGTATGCTTCCCTATTAAGGCTGAAGCTGCTCCAAGTCTCCCACAATCCCTTGTACGAGTCGCCTTCATGGATTTTTTTTGGGTCGGTTGCAAATTACCAAAATGTATGTAAATTCTGTTGATTTTACGACATTACCATTGGATTGGGATTCCTTCATTCTTTGACTGTCATTTCTCATTTAAAATTTAACGCGTCACGGTCGGTATCGAAATACATGGATATGCGAGGTAAATATATATAAATTTCATAAATATATTAATCATACTAAATTAAAGATCAAAATATCACAAAATAGTATATAAATATATAAATATTAAAGATATATATGATGAAATAAATTATGATTAATGAATCGGAATGCATAATTTTATTTATAATGCATCAATTAAGAGTCCAAGACATTAAATATATGCACCTATTATATTTTAATTATTATATCAATTATTTTTTATTTCACTATTTTAATTTTTTAACATTAAGAACAAAAAGTCAACTAAATATTAAATTTTTAAGTGCAAATTAAAATATCAATTAATATATTATAAAAATATAATCTTAACATAAAGTATATCAAACTTGTTAAAATTTTTAAGATGCATATCATATACAAATTCATAATTTTTAATTACAAAAATATCTATTCCATTATTAATATTTTTATTTATATAATTTTTATGAAATAAAAAATTATTTTTTTGAAATAAATGTAGATTAATGGATTTGATAGGTTCAATTAATATTATATTCTTCAATGTTTTGTATATAGTATTTTTATTTTTTGTAAATAATAAATATATTGTTAATGTAAATTAAAATATTATTTAATAACTAATAAAAGTATATCAAATTTGTAAGATTTATGTCATGTGCAAATTTATACATTTTAAGTATTAAAATAATTATTCTATTATTAATATTCTATTTGTATAAATTTCTTAATATAAAAATTCATCTTTTTATATAAATGTGGTTTTGATACATTATTTATTCTATAGTTTATAAAATACTATTTCTAAATATTATTTTTTTATTTTAGTTACCATTAAATATAAGTACGTGTGTTTTGTTTAAATTGCATGTGAATAAAAAAAGTTAATAAAATTTATTTTATTTTACTTTATATTACAAAACATAGAGCGGCTTACTGGTTTGGAAATACCACGAATTCTATTGTGTATGAGGCGACCCAAGTTTGAATCACCTCATTTTCAATTTTTTATAGTGACTTCTAAATGATGCAGTGTGTATCGGCCGATACAATGCAATACAAGTCGATACGCATTCATATCCATTCGATACGAACGACTGACAAGATATGATGGTATTTGTAGCGTATCCCATTACTAACCGATATCGATACGATATGCCCCGTATCGGACGTATCGTATCAATATTTAAATCCCTGGTCACGAGTATGGGTGAGCATTATTCGGTTAAAACCGAACAATCGAACCGAAAATTTCAACTTCGGATTTTTCGATTTTTTGTTATATCGGCTTGGTTTTTTTTTGTTTTATAAAATTTCAGTTTTTGTTTTAGTTTTTAGTTTTAGAAATCCGATTAATCGAAAAAACTGAATTAGCCAAACTTTATTATCTATAATATGTATATATATATATATATATATATTAACAAATAATACATATATAACACATATAAAATATATTATATTATGTATTAGAATATATAATTTATTATATACATTGTATAATATATATTTTTTAATATATAATATATATTATATATTAAAATATACACTACAATATATATTAAAATATATATATAGTGTTGGAAATCAGTTTTTACCAAAATAACCGAAATTTTTGGTTTCGGTTATTTCAGTTTTTCAATATTTTGGTTTCGATTCATTTTTTCATTTAAAATATTGGTTTATTCGGTTTGGTTTCTAACCGAATAATCCGTTTGCTCACCCCTAATCATAAGCGGATGTGAGTTACTATGTTTTTGGTATAGCTTCCATTTATTAAATAATGTCAGTACTTGATTTGTCTTTAAAATTGAGAAAAGTATTTAACAAATCTATAATGGACAAGTAGGTGTTATCAGGCATTACATCAGCGGAATAGTGAATAAATGCTTAATCATTAGGATAAACGTTAAAATGAATTTTTCTCCAACTGTTGATGCATACATAAATCAAAATCCACTTTTAAGAATATCAATACATATGGATAAATATGATAGAAAAATTGCTGATTTAGCAATGACATACTGGCGATTTTGATAAACACCTATTATAAAACACACACAAAATAAATCATACACTTAATAATAAGAAAAAATTTCTGAAGATAATCGTGAAATATTTATGGATGTAAAAATCCATTGATAAAGTTCAACATCACTCATTGATTTAAAAGTTGTGAATCGTTATAAAGTGAAAAGTATGATTATTGATGTCGATTTTATCGATATTATATTTACATCAATTATTGAGTGGAATTTTATATCCATTTTCGATGTAAATTTGTTCTTCATCCAAACACAAATAAATAGACTGAAGTATCGATCCATATTTACAGCGCCAAAAACAAATCCTAGGTAGTATTGATGTAAGTCTTCTGTATTTTCCCGTGCATCACACGGTGACACGGGGCCCTACTAGTTTAGGTAAATAGGTGGGCGACATTGGATTAGTGATTTTGGTATTATCAGTTTTTTGGGTAATTGATATTTCTCTGAAAAACTCATTTACCTTATTATCCATTGTAAGTTGTAATACAATAAAAATGTAAAAATATATATAAAAACAAATTACCTGATTAATCAATTCAATAAACAAATAAAGTGTCAATGTAAAGAGTCTTCCTCGCACCGACCTTACAATATGATATAGTCATACATCGGAAACATCTTCCATATTTTCTATATTCTTATGTAAAGAGCGCTTATAAGAAGATCCTACTACTGACGTGAACTCTAATCAATTCTGCCGGATGAATACCAAAATATAAAAATCAATTCTACCGGATGGGCAACTCATGCCCGATAGAATTTCTAGCTCTAAACAATACTATTTGTGCTGGCGTTGTAGGGACAAGACAATCCCTAGCCGAGACAATATCTACGTATGGTCGGTCTGTCCCGATTCCCCACCAGCTAGATAATGGTATCGGACTCTTAAATGGGCCATTGGCATAAGGCCCAATAGACTCGTTGACGCATACAGGGAAAGGGAATCAACTAAGACTGAATATGACCCATCTGATTTGTTATTCTAATGGCTAAAGAAAGGCCGTGTTTTGGTTTCAAATACAGCCTATTTGATTTTCATTCATGTCATTTAACGAATGTTCTTTTTTTTTTTTTAGATTTTGAGAGAAAGAAATTGGTCAATGGGATTTTGATTCCTATTAACCAAATAATCCATAATCTTTTTTTAGATTTATGTGAAGACCAAGGAAAGTTTGTTTTTTTGGGTATCACTTAGATGGATAAATAACTTTCCCATTTAGACCTCGTTCGTTTGCAGTAAATATGCATGGGAAAGTTGGTTGGTGGGTAACTTTTTCCCATTGACCAATTTTCCTGAGTAAACTTATTTTCCTGGGTATCACCTGGGATAAATTTTTACAAAACCTAATGGGACCATTTTACCTGGGAATCATAAAAACCAAAAGAGCATGGATAAGTGCACGTACCCATGTAAATGTTTATTCGGTAACATTTACTAGGTAAGTGCACTTACCTAGGACAAAAATGCCCTTTTAATAATAGATTTGTATGGCTAAAATGGTCATTGCATTATTTTCATGGGAAATAAAAGAACATGGGCAACCCAAATAAGTAACTTACCAAAAAGCGGACACAGCCTCAGAGAATGGTCCTATTAACTATGGGTAATAAGTGATTTAATGCTATATTTGGTCTGAAATTTAAAAAAAAAATAGAGAGAGGTGTGAAAACCTATTCAAATTAGAAATGACAATGACTTGCAGTAGTTAAAAATGATTTAACAAATGATATAGCACTTAAGAGGCGTTTTATTTTTTTGGATTTTGATAGGGGGAAGTTGGTTGGTCAATGGGATTTTGGTTCCCATTGACCAAGAATCCCATGTTATTTTTTCAGATTTATGTGGAGACCAGGGAAAGTTTATTTCCCTAGGTACCACTTACCTAGGTAATGATACACATCTCCTAGGTGGGTAAATAACTTTCCCACCTAGAGGGAAAGTTGCCAACACTTGAATGGGACAAAAATGCTCCTTTTAATAATGGATTTTTTATTGCAAAAATGGTCATTGCCTTATTTACATGAGAAATAAAAGAACATGGGTAAATGCACTTACTCGGGTAAGTGTTTCATAGGAACCAATGAATTCGGACTAGTTGAACACTTGAACGAGGTGGTTGTTCAGCGAACTATGGAACCAATGACCAAGTTCCATGCCATTAATAAATTCATGGGCCCCAATGCAGATACCATCTATTTTATTACTAGCATAGAACCTAATAATTGATTTCATAGCCTGCTAAACACCCATCTCGTTCAACTAAACCTTGCTCAGTTAAAACCATATTGAGGTGTTTGATAATGTAAATGGTTTTGTGTTCTAAAACAAAAACACATGCTATGTTTTGAAAAAACAAATCATACGCAACCATAGTTGTTAAATTAGGGCGATAGTTTTTATTTTTATTTATTATCATTATTATTAACCTTCATGGCCTATCTCTAGGGGTGGCCACGAGCCGAGCTCTTCACGAGCTACTCAAGCTCGGCTCATGAAAAGCTTAGCCCGGCCTAATAAAGTTCAGCTCATGAGCCAGTTCGAATAACTACAAACATATAATAATAATAATAATAATAAAAATATTATATATAATAATAACTAATTATTATAATTCTTATTCTTTTAAATATCA